TGCAAGTGTTCCAAACATGGTTCAGCTTCCTGGATTACATGCAAGGAGCCAACAATAGATTTTTTTCCATGCTCTACTAGCACATTTAACACCAGTGATACTGTTCTATACTACCCATCAACTCTTTCTATATTTTAGGAGAGACAGAAAAATGGCCAACACCACCAGGTCTTACCTAGCAGAGGTGTACGCCAGAATGAAATATCTGAGGACAGTGTCCTGGGAAGTTCAGTGCACAAGGTGGATCCTTCGCTCCCCAGTATTTCAGAGCAATGGAGCTGCTAATTGAAAAATAGAAAGTGATGCTGTTGTTCAATCACGCTGAATACATTAATGCCACCAACTCGCCCCCCACACACAGTCGCACCTGCATAATGTAATACTAACAGTTATACAAATACATCATCTGTTGCTTTTTTGTCTAGAAAAGCTCATAGGCTTAATGGACAGAACAGATACAGGAAGAGGTAGAATAATTCAACTTTACATTTGCAACAGACGTTGGTTCAAGCTAGGTCTGAACCTAGATGCTATGGGGGTTGGACTAGATGATTTCCAGAGGTCCCTTTCAACCCTAACCATTCTGTGAAACCAGACAAGACGAGCAGGACAGGAGAACCAAGGGGAGTGGGGGGGAACCAAAACAAAACAAAAACAAAAACCCACCACCCAACAACCAACCAACCCACTCCCATGAAAAACAAACTAAAAAAAGCCCTGAACAGCCTCCCCCTTTCAGGCACGCCAAGCCAACCAGACAGACTAAGTGGGACACTCGTCCAGTATTTAACACTTGCTACACAGGTCAGGTTTCCCTCAGCAGGAGTAGGAGGGCAGCTCCAGCTCAACTTCATGGAGACAAAGCACTGCCCCCATCACCCCCTGCCCCTGAATGCACACCACTTGCTTGCTGTTTACTTCTCAAGAGGAGTCATCCGAAGACGTCTAGAGGAAATTTCTGAAGCAACACTTGGGCAGCTGCACTTTACCTACTGTTGCTCAAGTGATTAAAAAAAGTAGGAAAGAAGTTGGAAGATGTAGCCCCATCTTCAGCCTCTGATCCTTCTCCAAATGCAATTTAACAAGTGCCTGTATTTTGTCACAGTGACTGTTCAGAAGGTTTTGAATATAGTTTTGTATGTGTGTATACACGTGCATACATATATACATAAATAAGCATCTCTATTTTTATTGAATGCTTAACTTGGCAAAGTTTCTCACAGGGAAAGTTATTTATTTCCTTCTGGTCATTAAAAAAAAGGAACAAACAAAACTAGTGTCACATTTTAACAGGCTCAGTAATGGTTATAGTGAACACGCTTACCTTCCCTTTTACTGGCTCAGCTGATGTGGGCAGCAGACTGTAGTCAGATTCTAATTCTGCACAGCACTGTTGCAATAGAGAAATAGTTTAAGGCAGGCAGATATAGAAGAAAAAAGGTAAAAAAAAGAAAAGGAACACTACGACATTTGCTCATTTATGAGCAAAATGGAATTTTAACTTTCTAATTGTTTTTTTTTTTCTTTCAGCTATCAGGAAAACTATGCAGTTGCTTCCCCTTGCTACTTTCAGCCTTTAATGCTGCAGACCTTTAATCATAAATACAGGTTTTATTAATATAGAGCTAGTCCACACTTTTGATTCTGCTCCTCTGATGCCCCCTTTACAGCCTAGGATATGTTGTAGGATCTTCTGTTTGGCTTTACAAATATCTTGTTGTTCTATGCTAAATCCAGACCATTCAGCCCCTGTGCTACAGCATTCCTTACTAGAGCTGGTTGGGAACACAGTCCTCCTACAATGTGTCCCCCTCCAGCACCTTCCATACTTGAAGAAAGTATTTTTATTCAAACCAAAGTACTCCAGAGTCATACAATTCCCAACATATTTCCACAGAGGGGCACAAAGGCAACAACCGTTTCACTGTCTATTCCAATGCCTGGATACTGAGAAATGTTTTATTAAAAATATTTTAAAGATTTGTTTTCAAGACTGTGTGTAGATGACAGGGCTTATTGTGTGAGACAAATCACAACAATGCATCAGGGAAAGTTTCCCTCAGCCCCATTTGATATGATCACCAACAGTTGTTCACAGTGAAGACCAACACCACACCTGTAAGTTCTAGCCCATTTTTTCTAGAAGGTTGAAGAAGGGAAAACAATAGTGCGCAGATCAGTACATACAGTTTACTGCCTCCACATATATGTACACGTTAGAAAAGAAGAAACCAGATGCTGCCAAATTACTTGCAGTTCATCTCAGCTGTAGATGCCCTTCCACCAAAGCACCTCCTGTGCAAGCCTACCTTCTCTTCTCCCACCAGACAAGCATCATACCTGACACACCAATTCACAGAGTCGCCTTTGAAGCACTTCCCATCTTAGTGTGTTAACAGTTGCTATGAAGAGACATTTACAAGTCTTACAGGGTTCCTTATAACTGGATAACAAATAGTAAGACATTAAGTGCCTTTAAACCTGACTACTACCTATCACAAACGCATTGCACTTTGCTTTAGCCTAGTTATATCTACAACAGTTTTTTTACAGGATAGAGTTTTAAAAGTGCACTTTGTTTTGTGAGTTCCAGAAAACACCAGGCACTTTCTTCCCTGTGGCTCCTCTCCCTATGAGGAGAGGCTGAGAGAGTTGGGGCTGTTCAGCCTGGAGAAGAGAAGGCTCCGGGGAGATCTTATTGCGGCCTTCCAGTACCTAAAAGGGGCCTACAGGAGAGCTGGGGAAGGACTTTTTACTAGGGCATGTAGTGATAGGATGAGGGGGAATGACTTCAAACTGGAAGAGGGCAGGTTTAGATTAAACATTAGGAAGAGGTTTTTCACTTTGAGGGGGGTGAGGCACTGGAACAGTTTGGACAGAGAACTTGAGGCCCTATCCCTGGAGGTGTTCAAGGACAGGCTGGACATGGCCTTGGGCAACCTGGTCTAGTGGGAGGTGTCCCTGCCCATGGCAGGGGGGTTGGAACTCAATGATCTTCCAGATCCTTTCCCACCTAAACCATTCTATGATTCTATGTTTCTGCTTACTGCAAAGGGAGCTAATGCTTGCTCACATCATCAGCCCTAAGGTGCCACAGTTCCCTGTGGAAATGGATGACTCCATTACAACTTATTGGAAGAGAAACATTTGCCCTTCCAATTTGACATCCTGTACAGAAGTTTTAAAAACCAATGGGCTTTACATTATACTGAGAAACATTCTTTGTTCAAGTTTGGTAATGCCAGGGCCTGCCTCTTGTGACTTCTACCTCAATGTAAGTCTATTGTAGCTTTTATACCATAGCTAATAATGGTGGGGGATGGAGATTTCATTAGCACCATGACCTCAGTGCCCAAGCCAAAATTGAAGGCAGCTCTCAGTAGCTTGTTCAGCTTTTTCACTGGATGAGGGTTATAGTGATATGTGGCAAGGCATGATTAGGTGTTTGAAACATAGAAGGCTGACTTAAGTTGAAGTAGCTTCCTTGGCAAACAGCTTCCCTCATTTCTCATCTCTTATCATGTGGGTGGGAGGGAGTAGAGGAATAGAGCGGGTAGGTGGGTGGGGAAGAGACTACAACCCAGCCCATCGGTCAGAAGGGGCACTAGACCTGTCTGACTTTCTGCAGGAACCAATATAAAGCATGGTCCTCCCATGGTCCCATCCATGTTTGTCAGCCCTGTTCTTCATAATACCTTGCAATTTCTCTACTCATCTACTAGTTTATTTCTGTTTATCTATGGAAGGAGATTTCTGCAAACTATCTGGAGTCATTTAAAGCCAAAGTCTCAGCCATTTTCAGGGTGGTGGTGTTTTCTGCGGGTTTGTTCAGAGGTTTTTTTTTGTTTTTGTTTTGAGTCACAGTGGCACCCATCTCTTCCACATGTCTGGGGTTCTCTTTCTTTTCATTTACTCTAGCTCACTTTGTAGAAGAGCTTTGTCTGTTCAGAGCTGGAAAATGATACACTATTTCTATTGTTATGCCTCTTGCTAAAAAAAGAAAAACAAGCAAAACCCAACCAAACCACCCCACAGTTTGAAGGACACAGTAAACATGGAAGCAACATGAGAACACACATGTGAACAATGCCAAAATATTGGTCAGAAGTCAGCAAGCACAGTCTGGAGCTGTTTCTGCCACATCAGTGCTTAACAGTTGTGCCTTAGAGCTAAGACACAGAGTCCCACTGTAATTTTTCCTACAAGACAAATTGTAGTTTTGTATGAAGTTGCTTACAATACATGTATATTGAGCATCAGTCATACTGTCCTGCAAAATACATGCCTGAGGCCAAAAGTTCAGTGGGCTTAAGTCAGTCAAATTTTATTCCAATAAGTGACACACACTCTAGAATTTGGAAAGAAAAAGCCAGAATCAAACTGGATCTAATTGCCCAAGCTTTTGAGGTGTTGATGTTGTTAGCAAGTGAGCAAGAGGTAGTATGAAGTTTCTATGGTTCTATAGCAAAAGTTGCACGTGTACAACACAACTGCTTTCTACTGAAGACAACAGCCTAATACCATGCAGTTATCCAAAACCACAAAGCAAATACCAGCAGCAAGCAGAATGCAGAACAAAAGTCAGGTCTATTTGGTACAGGAAGCTTCAGAAAGAGGGATGACTTTGTTAGGAATAAGGTGGGCTATTCTGGTGTGGGAACAGCACCTTCAGTAAAAGAGCGTCAGTGCCACCCCACAGAGTTACTAACCCTTCCTCCTAGGGCTGGAGATTTTGTTAGGAGGTTCTGCAGTTTTGGTCCAGCCCAACACCCACTTATCAGGATCCCACCTGATTCTCAGCCCAGCTGCCATGGGTTGCAGATCTCTTAAAAGGAGAAGGAAAAACAGAAAGGGGAAAAAAAAAGAAAAGAAAAAGACTCCGCAGAGCATTTTACCAGATGACCTGCAGATCAGTCCTACTCCCCTCCTTGCCATAACTAAACCATAAAGGATTTACCCATGCAAGAGTGAATGCTGGCACACTGACAGCGGTTACTCACTTTTTTGGTCTTCCACCTTTTCTTGAAGCAACTGACAAGTGCTTGTTAAAGCTGCATTCACATCCTTGAGTTTTTGCTGCTCAGAAATGGCTTCCTCTAACTTGCATTTCCAGGATGCGGCTTCCTCACAAGCAGAGTGAAAGGCTTCAACTTGATCCTCTGCCTAAGCACAAAACGACATTTAAGAAAAAAAGAAGGGGAGGAGGAAAAAAAAAAAAGCAGCCGGGCTAACACAAGGAGCCTCTACAGTTCATGTAAATGAAACCAAACTGCATCTGTTCTTTCTCAGGAAGTGATAAAGCTCCCTCTGAACTTCTGCATTTTTACATTGGGGTGGACTGTGTATGGAAGCTATTTTTGGTTGGGTTTTTTTTTTTTTTAAACCACCACAAATATGCAATGCTGCTTCTTTCATCAGCAAACTGTTGTCACCACCCCCTCAAATTTTACTTCCTCTGCTGGTTCCACTTTTGCAATGAGACACTCCACTCCGAACATGCAATTTCCTTTCCCAAGAGCAGTGATGCATTGTACGTAGCCTTTTGCATTTGCTTGCCCGTTTTCTGTGTAGAAGGAACTAGGCTGTCCCTTACCTGTTTGCCAGCATCCTCGAGCTGCTTTATCGCTTTCTGCAGCTCTAAACCAAGGGCTTCTGCCTGGCCAGCAGTTTCTTCTTGTAACTGTTTGACAGTTTCTATCTCACGTTGCCTGTAGGGTGAGAGAGCACAAACCACAATCCGTTACTGATATTTTAGAGCAGGCATGCTCGGGAGATGACACATGCTAGTTGTTGAGACATGCATCGAGAACAACTTTCAGCTGTTATATATTGCAGCTCCCCAGGATCCAGCACCAGGGACTTTCTTCTTGCTAAACACAATTCAACCCAGTAGGCAGACAAGGCTTTTCTATAACAGCTCCAGAATTAGGAAGGGGATGGAGATTTTCCTTGGTTTCTCCTCAGCTGTGCCAGCCCCAGCCAGCTGGGTACCATAGTGGGAGCTTGTGGAATAGCCAGAGAACTCTCAAAGAACAAGAGCTTAGTGGGGCAAACTTCTGCAATTTGGTCAAAAGAATGTATTGTTTCATGGTTTGGGAGAAATAGTAATTGGATATGCAGCCAGTCATTCTAAAAAAGATACCCTGAAGCTATTACTGCAGACACATAGCTTCATCAGATTAATTTCCCAGCATTGCAGAGGGTATTTCACTTGACAGGAAGCAGGTGCCTTCAGAACCAATGATAAAGATGATGGCTTTCAAGGAACCCCTTCTTTTCCACTGCAGAAACCCTTTTCCCATTTCTTATTTAACTCACCTTCATTTTTTTTTTTTTTCCTTGTTGCTACCACCACAAACAAGTGTGATACAGAGAGACAGCTTTAAGAAACCAAGCCATCAGTATTTTTATCTCTTTTCTGAGTGAAGGGAGAGCATGTGGGAGGTCTACATTAACAATGTTAAGTGGAAGATAAGTCAGGCAAAAACACAGAATGAATGCTCTGCATTAACTCTCAGGGATGCAAAACCCTAGGAAGCTGCTTACGCCCCAAACCCAGGTAAAGGCATGCATGCAAAAATTTACATTTAGCATAGGATAGCAGAAGGCTGACACTATGAGTAAGCCTGGGTTCCGCAAAGACAACAAACTCAGATTAGTTGTTCTGGCCAGAAAAAACCTTGACTGGCTACTTTCCTGAATGCCTGAGGAGAGGAGGGAGGGCATGCAGAGGTTTACACCTGCTGTCTTTTGCTGCCGTATCTGTAACATCAAAACTCGTAGCAGGAACCATGGTCCAATAAACTAAAATTTAAGTTACACTTTCATATTTAATGAGACAACTCACTGAAGCTATACCCTTGAGAAGCTGAGACATCGTATCATCTGGGGCTAGCAATTGCCTCCCAAAGCAGTAATACCTGCTGGCATACATTTTTACAGGTCGTCCGCGTCACACAAAGCCAGCAGTTCAGTTTAATGGTTGCACCTGATAGATAGGCAGCGCCCTCTTGCTTTAACTGCTCAACCTGTGGTCTCCCTGGTGATTTTAAAGACATCTCCAAGACTGTATGCTACTTCATATACAGACCTTAACTCACACATGGTGTTAACTTGCTGGAACCAGATCCACTCTCCAAAAGAGCAGATAGTTTCCTTTATGAAAATTCTTCATAATTCAGCAAACTTTGTTCAACAAGACAAACCCCACCCACCAAACAGCTAAGCAACAAACAAAAAGCAAACAAAACAAGACACACACAGAGACACATACCTGGCAGAGAGCTCTTTCCTTAGGTGAAGTTGCTCTGTCTTGGTTCTCCTCAGGTTGCTTGCCATTCGAATAAAATCCTTATCTAGGGATTCTTTGTATTTTTCCAAGAGATGAAGTTTCTGGATCCAAAGGTGTCTTTTTTCTCCTAGTTCTTGCTTGAGAACCTGTAGAATTTTGAAACTGAGTTGCCACGTGCTTAGATGAGGAACAGAGCCATGGAGTAAACTAAAGCCCCAGTTTTTATGATAGGAATTGACTTCCACCATTTAGTACCATCATCTACATCCAACACTATCAGCAATAAAGAAGGTGAATGATTGATAGGATCTTGTAATCTACTCACGCAGCATCTGGTTGCAGAGGGAGGAGAGGTGGGAGAATTAAGGAAAAATACAGTTTAATAAGGTAGTGATTATGAAGGGGATATGGGTGTTTGTTTTGTACAAAACAGTATTTTGTGCAGTCTAATAGGTTAATAAAGCTACCTAAACTTCAAACCTGTGCCTTCTTACTCCTGAATCTGATGGGATGTGGGAACAGACAGGCTGTACTCCTACCAAGTGTTAGTACTTTACAACTTATGTGTTGCTCCATCATCAAGAACAGTTTGCACAAGAAAACATAAGCTTTCCCGTATGCTAGTTCAATTTGACAAAGGGCTCCCACTTTTTTCAAAAGATTACTTTTAAGTCAAAAGCCACTCTTAGCCTTCGTTTCTGTTCAAGTCTAGGGTACAGAGATAGCCCTTTTCTTCTTTATCCCTTGTAAAACAATTACCATAAATACTTGCTAACTGTGTAAGCATGGCAGAAGATTACATGACACATGAAGGAGTCTTTACAACTTACCCCAGGAAACTTCCATCACAAGATGCCCAGATACAGCAATAAAAAAAACCATATTTCATAAGGGGAAGTTTTAGTAATGACCATCTTGCAGGAAGACCTAAAATTTATCATTTAGATTTCTGTGACACTTTCAAAGTACAACTAAGTCCTTTGGCACCAATTTGAGTTTTTATTACACAAAGTAAAAACTTGAAAAACCCCACCAAAACAAATAAATTCATATTTCAGTTTGTCATACATGCCTAGCAGATGAAATCTGCCCAAGGGATGAGTCCTGTAACAAAGGTTTTTGGTTTTACATCCGACTTGAGGGAAGAAAAAGAGGCAGATGGTAAAAATGAAGTGTTAAGTAACATTGCATCCTCTGTGTTTCTCTGACCATTGACTTGCAGTATAAAGTCCTCTTTCTCAGACCTTGTTCAACTGAACACACCAAATAGAGTCCTCAGCTTTTAAAGAATACTTAATAGGAATCAAGCAGAGATCAGGTAAGAATGAGGTTCATATTTCTGGGATTTTACATTAGTTCAAAGGGGAAAACATCAATCCTACAAATATGGGCCATGCTACCTACTTGCCAGTCAGAGTCTAATGTTGTTGGTGAACTTCAAACGAAAAAGTGCAGCATATCAAGTCTCATGCTACAAAAAAAAAAAAAAAAGAAAAAGGAGTGCCTGAGCAATGTTGCTAGATAGGTTTACTAGGATGACATGGGATGTGATCATGTGCAAACACCCACATCCTGAAGATCAGTTTCTCAGCCCAGGCAGGCAGCACTTGCTCTTAGAAATAACATGGTTTTGACAAATAAGCGGTATAGGTTTATCAGTGCACAAGTGCCAATCTTATCTTCCAGCAGGAGAAGGGTGAAAGAGTTTTTGCTCTCACCATCTACATATGCTTAAATATATGTATATATGCACAAAACCACAGGCACACTTACATTTTACTTTATGGATAATACACTTCAAAACATACTTAAATACTGAAACCTAGCAAAACAAACTTGTCCGTAAAACATTTCACAGAAAATGGTAGGGAAGTGTTTAAGCTTCAAGTGATAGCACATGGCCCAAGATTGAGGGTTTTTTTTTTTAGGGCTACTGTTGTTCAGCTCCATATACCATATTTCCCATATACCTTGCTTATCCTAGCTAGGTGAAAACAATATAATTGACATGAAGTCACTTCCTATCTCCTATCCCCACAGGTCCCAGGACAGGATCTTGTATTTTTAACGAATCTTTTTCTTCCTTGATCCTCTGTTGGATTAGTTTCCAAATGCATTGCTCTCTAGCAGCCACAATAGGATTCAGTTGCCATGATCAACTCCAACACCCGCATCAAAAATTCTTGGCTTTACATGTTTAACAGGAATATGATCCCAACATGAATGGTAAGTTAACAAGCATTTTTCAGCTGTGACAGCTTTAAAGGAGGAAGTTTTTAAGTCAAGATCAAAAATTACAGCAATGCACGAGCCAGCAGTTTCCTAAAGTCTACCCAAAGTCACACCAGGGTGAAGTGACCGAGATGCTTACACCTTCTCCAAGGAGAAGCTTTCAAGAAAAAAAAAAAATAAGAAAAGAAGAAAAAAAAAGTTGGTTGGAGGACTGGATGGCTCCAATGATTGCTCCTGCCTGCCCAGAAAAATGAAGAGGGCCATCTACAATGTTTTGCAGCACTAGAGGAAAAGGGTAGCTTTCTGCTTAAAGCTAACAGCTTAAAGTAGTACATACTGTGGTGCCACCTGCTATGACCCAAGTGGGATGAATCAAGGCTTTTGCATCTATTAAGGAGTCAAAAGACACCATTAATATACAGTTTGGTGAAGTTTTCTGTATCAGCATTCCTAACAGATTAGTAAGAAGGAGCAGGTTAGGAAAAAAGCTACATCCAGCAAGACAAAAATTTCAGAAACAGTGCGGTTACATGGGAGGGGAGGAGACAAGAGCAAGAGAGTTGAGCTGTGTCCACAGACTGCTGCTACCACATGAGGAAGTTATTTTTTCCAGTTACCTTGAGCAAAAGTCTTTACTTGTAAGCCTCACAAGAGGTATAAGGAATACTAAAAATACATCATGCAAGATTAAGTTGTAAAATATACTTTTGTAGAAGCTTTTCCTACGGAGTGTGTCCAGCAAAAGCAGAACTCTTTGCTTTTCAAAGGTTTTGATTTGGAAATCTGGTTATAAAACCACCCCCCTCCTCATCTTGATGGTAAACCATCCACCACAGTAGTCAGATTCAGAGCACTGGAAAACAGGTGCTGGAGGAGCACGGAAACACGCAGTGGGCAGAAAAGCTTCAGAGCTCACACAATACAGTGTTGCCATCTGAGCTCATATCTCTCTTCAAATCAACTTGCTTCATCTACTGTTTCCTTCAAGCGCAATTTAGCAAAGTGAGCTCTTGCACAAGACCAGTCAGGAAAAGCACAGCATTTAAGTGAAAAGCAATCATCCCTTTCCTCCTCAAAAAAGAAAAAAAAAAACACACAAAAAAGATTACAAAAGATATTTCTCTCCATACCTCCATCTCTGAGCTTCAAATGGACTCCTAGGACCTCAAGTAATTAATATACATAGCATGCTACACTAAGGCAACCACCTTAAGTGTTTGCACAGTTCCACTGTTTCATAAAATAGCTTCAGAGAAACACCTACTTACCACAAGTTTTCTTTCCCAAACTTGTTGCGTGTTCACATCAGGATCTTTTACCCATTGTAAAGAAGTCATGACAAGCTCTTCTGCTTCAGAGGCTTCCTCTTGCTGAAAAACAAAGTAAAAATAAATACACACAAAAGACCCCTCCACTCCCCCCCCAACAACCAAAAAAACCCAACTCCAAAACCCCAAACCTTGGCACGTCTAGTACTAGTCTGACACAATGTTGCCCAGAATTACACAGGTTATAAATTACAGTGCTAGAGCAGGTGCCAAGGGATATCATTAAAGTATGTGCCCTGCCACCCACCCCCAAGCAGCAATTACTTTTTTTTTTTAAAAGGACTAAATATGATCTGATTATCAACGCTTGGAGAAATTCTAATTAAAAGGCTGATAGAAGAACACATCCTTATTCACATAAGCTCTACCACTGACCAGGTTTTGCATGATAGTTTTAAATTTTTCTCCAGCATATTCAGGTCCCTGAAGTAAAAAGAGTACTTCACGGTCCAGCGTTTCATCCAGGGACGTCCATTCAGTCTTGGAAATCTTTGAAGAGATGGAATAGCCAGCTAGCTTATTTTGACATCTCCTCATTACTAACCAGCATCAGTGACATTTAGACTTCTCTGAAGCATCCCTGCATCATATTTACCAGAAGGTCAGAAACTTGAAGCTTGTAAAAGCTTTTCAAAACCATCATGTCATGGGGATTTTAAAAAAAAAAAAAAGCAAGCCAGCCAAGCTGCTGAGTGATCCAATGTAAATTTTCATGTCAGGAGTAGGCAAGAGGAAGTCAATAGTTAGTTGTCTTTATTCAGACAATGCTTTACCAAGTGGTGAATAAGTAGAGCTCTTACTCGCTTTACAGGTGATTTGGTGGGATCGTGTCTCAGTACAGCATTTGAGAGGTAAACACAGTGACTCACTGCGACTCCGGGGAGCTGCAGTAGGGGACAATGTTACTTTTGAAACAGATGTGCCTAGCCAAGTATACCTCTCATTTCTGTGCCTATAGTTTTAGTCTGTCAGTAGATTATTTTTTTTTCCTGTTGCAAATGATAACTCTTTGCAAATGCACCACATACAAAAGCAAGTAGCAGCATGGTGAAGTATTACAAGAAAAATTACTGCAATAGCATGTATTTGTTATTAACTCTGCTGCACAGCTTGCATTTGAAGCACTGTAAGGAAGGGTGGGACTCCACAGAATGTCTTTAGGGAAATGGGCACAGCATAGCTCAGATAAAAATCTGGACCAAAACTATAATGTACATGTAAATTGTTTTTTTTTTTTTTTCCCCCAGTAGTTTTCTATTTGAGTGCTGGAAAGCTCTGAGAACAGTAAATTAGAGACCAAACTTCCAGTGTTTGTGAAGTGTGTCTGATCAAAAGCATAGTTCCCAAAAGTCACCAAGCCACCTGCTGGGTGTTCTGCAGAGGGTTTGAAGTTGTGTCCTCCATGCCAGACTCAACTGCAGTACTAGGGTTTTGTCAGCCTGTGCCAGACTCAGAAGGATGCATCTCAGTCACTGTCCAAAGACCTCGGGGAGGGGGGGAAGAGCTGGGCAGAACTTCTAAAGATCTGTCTCCATTGTACCTGCTGAGGGGCAAGGGAATGATACCTACAGACAGATGCTTATCAGAGTTCCTAAAAATAAGTTACATGAAGACTCTACAACCTTGTCAGGATGCTTACTCTAATGCTTAATTTTCTTTTTACAATATTAGACTTTGAGGAAAAAAAAGGTTCACCTCCTGCAATTGAAAAAAAACCAACAGTGTTTGTGGCTGGTGTAGGTGGTACAAGAAGAAATAGACTGTTACTTTCCTCAGCGTAATAGCCTTTATATGTTTGAAAACTGGTGCCTTCTATCAGTCTGTTCTGCTGCCAGCTAAATGCATGACCCTAGGTCTTCCAGATTTACTTTGTAGGTCTCATTTTTTAGATCTGAGTGCTTTGTTTGTTTTTCTTTGGACTTTCTCCAAGCACTTGGGACAACATTGTAACCTTCATGTTCTATGCTTGTGTCCTAGGATTAATGACTTCCAATTCCAGGGTTATCTAATGATCTACAGGGAATGAGCTTTGTTCTTCCTTTACTCATGCAAGACAACTGGGATGAGACTCAGTGAAGATTTGATTCATACCTCAAAAGACTGAGCAAGTTCCAGTTCACAGTGCAGTGAATTCATCCCTCCAGGAGTATTACTGTTAAATTTACACAACAACGGGAAACTCAACCCATTTCTAAAAGAAGCAGAAAAAAAACCCAAAGCGTATCAGCCCTTTTTGACTTTTGATGAACTGCATTTCCTGTGACTTGTTCACAATACTTACGAGATCAGCTCTTGCTGCATGTGTTGCATGTTCTCTAGTAGCTTATTTTTTTCTGCCCGCAAAGTCTAGAACATACATTAGACCTGGTTACGGTGTTAGTTTGTCATGCAGAATAAGCATAGGATATACATGCTTTCCCCTTACACAGTCAAAAAAAATAATAAACTCTGTCCCATACCTCTATTATCGAGGAACACTCTGCAACAGTTAGCTTCAGTTCTTTGATGTCTTGTTCCTTCTGCAGAGATTGTGGAGAAAACAACCTTTGAAGTACACAACCTGACAACTAGCACTTTGAAGTACATTTGTAATACTTACAGCTATCATGCTTTGTAAACAAAATAACACTATACTTAATCCGACATTACAGCAGTAAGCTGTGCTATTTAGGTTTGAGCAGCAATCAAATTACATAATGCAAATGTAAAAAGAATAAAGTCAACTACCTTGCATATTTGCTATCAGAAAGCACTCAGAAGACCTTTTCTAGACTCCTGAAATTAGGGAGACAGAATAATTCTCTCCAGGTGCCTTGATTTAATTTACTGCTTATCTGGTTTCTTTACCAGCAATAGCAGATTAAACTAGACAGAAGCCCTCTAGTTTTAGCTGAAAACCTGGACTATATTGTGCCTGGCATGAGTCTGAATCCCAACTGACCCTTAAAACAAGTTGCAACATTCAAACCAGGACATGAGTTTACTCTCATTAGTTTTCATGATTAAAGGCATAGACTGTAGCGCTCTGTAGATTAAACACCGTGTAATGGAAGGGCTGACAGAGAACTTATCAACCCTTATGGTAAGACCGAGAGGTTAGTAGAAGCAGTAGCTTTCTTAGCATCTCAAACGAGCAATGGGCTTCAGTCATGTTATGCCACTACAATAGAAAACATTGCACAGGCAAGCAGAGCCTGTCTTGCAGAAAACAGGAACTTTGGGTAGGAGCTCTGGTCCTCTCACCCCTTTTATGACTTCTTCCTACTCTTCCTCTTTAAAAATAGTTGAGGTTTTTGAAAGAGATGAAATACACAGGAAGCTAAGCAGGAAGAGTGAGGTTATAGAACCAAGTTTCCAGCCTTGGCAGAGAAAATTGATGTATGGTGCTGAGGGTTTAAATAAAAAAGTGTTTTCTATCTTTGCATACCTTCTGCAGGCCTAGAAAAGAAAGGTTGCCATAATAATTTTCAGTGACCATCAATCCTATCCAACCTACCTTTGGATAAAGAGCCATGAGAAGGTTTTTTTTTTTTAGCTTACAGGTAAACCTAATCCAGATGCAAACAAGGAAAGTCAGTTTTCCACAATAGTTTCTTTGAGACTATACAAACCAGTCATCTTTATCTACAAAAACATGCAAACTAGCAGTCTGCTTTCAAAATTCCTATTTAGTCAATAGACTAAAAAAACTTTTTAAAATAAAAGGATACTACAGAGACCACAAAAGCTTTGAATCATTCAAGGAGGAGAAAGTGAAAGCTATTTTAAAGAAAAAAAAAAAAACCATGGAAAAAGTTAATTCATTTGCACCCTTAAGCTACTTCTGGTAAAAAACCCCAAACCAACAAACAAAACAAAGAAAAACCACCAACAAAACCCAATCTACTAAATAAAAAAAAAACCACTCAAAGTTGTCAGCTGAATCACATTAAAGTTAAGTTCTCCTATTACTATTTGAATTTAGTTGCACTCATTTTTTTGGCAGACAGCAAAAAAATAGTCAAATATTTCATCAACTGATTTAGAACATGTTCTGCTAAACAGAAACTCTATTAGCCTAGAAGACTATTTGCATAACTCATGACTCCAGAGAGTGCCAACACCCTCATGTAGTTTTATGTCTTTAAACTTGTATTTTGTGTTAGAATATAAAAACATCAGAAGTGTTCATTCTTCAGCAAAGCCTAGATAATTACACCTCGGTAATGAGAAAGGATAAATTTGCTTTTCCATTGGGTTCTGAATCATCATTTCTAGTTTGACACAAAAATTAAGCAGTTTAAGTAAAAGACACGGAGGAAAGGATCTTCTACAGCTACATTCTTTTACCAACTGTTGAAGGAAGTAGCCTTTAGAAGTTTCTGTACATTTTTCTGAAGTCTTCAAGTTTGTTTTGTTTTAACAGGTTGTTTTTTTGGTTGTGTTTTTTTTTTTTTAAGTAAAAGCAAAATCCTGAAACCTTTAATTATGCTGACTCATAACCAGGTCCTAAAGCAGATCTCGCCTACTTTGAAGCCATTTATAGGATCAGGTTCTGCAGTGTGAGAACAGTACAAATAAAGGGGCCACAGTGAAGACTCTTGCCTTTGCCTTTTTACAAATCACCCCATAGTCAGTATTTTCAGTCAAGGCAGTAGTGAAGTAAAAGCAACTAACCTGGATCAAGTTTGCCTCTTTGTTCACCACCGTGCTCTCATAGACATGTGCTTGGATCTAAAGAATGAAGAGATCAAAAGTCATTCCAGTCATCACTGTGCACTATAATACAAGCCTGTTCCTATCTCCTACTTGGAAGGGGGAAATGGTATCAATATTCCTTGCTTAGAAAAATCAAAATCTTCTCCGAATACCTTGCACAGTGCATTTCAAAGTCCAAATCTTGTACTCAGTTAAAAGTGCAAGCGTTCTTAGCTTTCACAGTCACCTTTGTTTTCTCTTGTCTGTCCTGGCTAATAGTTTCAGCAACATCAACCAAAGCATAGCTTTCTAATATATTTTCTCAAATAGCAGCGAAAAAGTTTCCTAAAACTTTAACTTGGAGGAGAGAATGAAGCTGTGGATTTTTAATTTATTTTTTAATATTAGCCCAGTTTTTAACCTCCAGACAGCAATTTTCTTTGTCAAAGCTGTCGCACTGTCCAAGCTGTGATTGCATTGCAGTTCTTTAATACAGACAGGTTCTGGGCTGTCTACTTTCTAGGGGTAGAAGTTCCCCTCACTAGACCCAAGTAAGCTATAGGCTGTCTTTTTGTTCCTCCTAGAGTTGAAATGCTTACTTGAAGCTCTGCTGCATTTTTAGACAGCTCCAAAATCTTCTTTTTAAGTCCATCAGTGTCCATGCTATTCCTAATATTCTGAACAAAATACAGAACATTTAGGCACAGTGGAATAGATTGCATAGTTTCTTCAAGGAGAAGCTGTCAAAATGACATGTCCACCCCCAAGCTACTGCCTACTCTAAAGCAGTACCAGCATTTATGCACATACATTGTATATGCTTACCCCACTGAAACTGTTTCTGCTACTTTTTCCTCCCATTTCTCCAAAGCACTGTTAACAGAAAAGACCTCAAAACGTGACTTATAGGCACTACCAGATATAGAAAGCTAAAGAAAAGCTTTCAGGCCTGCACCATGGGAATTATTTTTGCAAAAATGCATTTAATAGCTATTTGGACTTGTGTGATTTTTGGAAAAACTAATCTTGAGCATGGTGGTAAACACGCAAAGAACAATGACTACCATGTTGTTGTAATAGATAATAGACCCCTGAATCCATGAGGTACTACTCCTCATTACTATAATTTAACCTGTTTCTCTATTTCATCCTAAATAGTCTAAAATACAGGCTGTAACCAAGTTTTAAAATGTTTTATCACCTGATAAATCTGGTTTATAAAATATTTACTTTAATGAAATAAAGTAACAATGAATATCTCTCCTCTGACCAACAAAGAAAAAAAAA